ACTTCTGTGTCTGATTTATCCCACTCAACATTATATTTCCCAGGTGCTTCCATTTTCCTACAAATGTGCCACAATTGTGATTCCTTCATATCTTAATATTATTCCATCATTTAGTAATCAAGGGCAAGGAGTGAGGGAGAAGAGAAAGGGAAATAAGTAGAATAAAGATACGCCATGTTCAGAAACGTAACAACCTCAATTAATGCAAACATTATATGCCACAACATGATCTGAGATTAATAGTATCAAAAGAATAAAAATATGATAGAATAGGAGGAAGAGGGGAAGCAGGAGAAGAAAGGGAAAGGGTTTAAAAAAAACAAGCCTTAGTATGTACATGTAACCACTCTCCAAAATGATTGTAAACTGCATGAACTACCAACATGTACAATAAAATTTTCAAAGGAAATCAAGACCTTAGAGGCCAGATCTGACAACACAAGAGCAAACTACTTTGAGAAACAAAGAAGACTGATACAGAAAACTATATAGGTAAACATAAAATCCAGAATTATATTTTTTGCCGTGTCACTTCCCTATTTTCCCGGTTATTTAAAATTATAAAATGTTACTTATAAATTTATGTTAATGGGTATAAAGTATATGAAGATGTAATATGTGATCAGAACAAACTAAAAGGAGAAGATAGTACTATGTAGGATCAGAGTTTTTATATACTACAGGAATTACTTTAGGATTAGTAAAATAATTGGTATGCACTTATATGTTAACTGAAACTTCCAAGATGATCACCAAGATAGATAACATGGAATTAACATGGACATAAGAAGAAAATCAAAGGTTATACTATGAAAAAATAATTAAGCCAGAAAAAGAAGCAGTAAAATGTGATCATGAAATAATATGTGAGCATAAGTGTGTGTGTGTGTGTGTGTGTGTGTATAGGAAAATGGCAGAGGCAAATCTTTTCATCCACATTACTGAAACTTTATATATATCAGTTGGAAAACAACTCCTCATTTCCCTCTAACTAGGCCCTGTCAACTACCATTGCTCACTATATTTCTGTAATTTGTTTGTTTTAGTTATCTCACATGAGTTATGAGTCAGGGACAAGAGATACTTGTCATTGTTATTGAGTTATTTCAAGTATAATATTCAGTTGTTTCCATGTCCAATTCCTTTCCCTTCTTGCTGAAGGTCAGATTTGAGAATCATGCACCCTGAGTTAGTGTCTCAAGGTCATGCAGCCATTGTATATTATCACTCCTTTTTCCTAAGCAGTGCACAGAAGGATAAGATCTTCGATTCGTGTTCTATTTTCTTTACCTTGAGGCCAAGGTGATACTTACTAGAGTTAGACTGCTCTGGCTCAGGATACAGGCTTAGGTAAGTGAAATGAAACTGCTCTTCCTGTTCATTTGAATGTGCCATTAGATTTGCACTCATCTAGATTCCACAATCTCATAACTAGATCATGGAGTTCTCATACATGTCACTATTAAATCAGCTTTTCTGTGGAAGGATGGAGGATGAAACTTTCTATTCTTCAATGTTGCTGATTTAACTCTACCAAACCAGCTTCATAGAATAATGAATAGAAAGAAAACCAGAGTCCTGTCATTAAACTAAAAAAGGTAGTCATAAAATTTTTTAAAGACAAATAGGCAGAGCATAATTGAATGGTAGAGTCTTTTCTACTACATGTCCTAACTTTATCCCCAGCACCACACAAAATAAATGAAGTACAAAATGCAAATAACTATTCATAGAAGGGAAAAAGAAAATTTTCTGTTTTAAAAAAACCCAAAACAAATGATATTCAAAAGTGGAAGACTCCATGCTTAAAATTGTACAAGATGTTCTACGCAGAGTAAGTAGTCACAAAAAATGAAATAAAATTTATCCAAACTGGAAAAGAACTAGGTTTTCAGATGATATGGTCTTACATAAAACAAATCATAGAAAATGTACAAAACACCTGTTAGTTAGTGTACTTACTCAGCAAAGTGATTCAAGATCACCAAACAAAATCAGCCATAGGTCTGAATAGTAACAATTGACCACCTAAAAACTAAAAAAATTAATTCCATTTACAGTAGTATCTAATAATACCAACTTTAACCAAGGGTGTATAAGTTTTATATTAAGAAACTCAAAAATGTGCTGTAATGAAAGGAAATCTAAATAAATATAAAGACATTCTCTATTATGAATTTTAAGACTTAATCTTTGTAAGTGACGATACTTCATGATGATCTAAAGATTTAATGAGATCTCTGTCAGATTACCAATGATTTGTGTGCAGAAAAATAAAAGAATAGCAAAAATTTGTGTGAAATTTTAAGGTACCCTGCAATCAAGAAAATCTTGAACACAACAATAAAAAAGTAGAGGTTAGGTCTTCCAATTGCAAAATGTATTGCACATACAGATGCAATATGAGATTTGAAGTACATTAGTAATGGAGTAGAAGCAAAAACCTAAAAAAAATTATACATCGCTAATTAGATAACTTTTGACTTGGATACCAAATCTATTTAATAGGGAAAGAATAGTTTTTCCAAAAATTGTATTACAGTTGAATATCCATATATAAAAGAGTGACATTTGACTCCTGCTTCATGCAGAAAATGAGCATCAATCAAAATGCATTAACAACGTAAAACCATAAATTAAATAAATATGGCCTTGAATTGCTTGGATTTGATGCCAAAAGAAAAACTGATAAACTGGATTTGATTAAAGACGAGGAAACAGTGAAAAGATGTGTCATTGGAGTTGGCAATGTTTTCTTTAGGTCCAAAACAAAAGGCACAAGAATCAAAACAAAAATTAGAAAGTGAGATTATTCAAACTATAATGCTCAGTATGGAAAAGGAAGCAACCAGTAAAAAAGCAATCCATTAAATGGGAGAAAACATATGCAAGCCATATGTGTGAGAAGAGATTAATAACCAAAATACATTACGAACTCCTACAACTCCATAGAAAAATCCAATTTTAAAATAGGAAAAAACTAAAATGAACAATTCCTCAAAGAAGACAACAGACAGAAGGTTTAGATAATGATATTCAGCATCTCTAATCACGAGAGAATGCAAACAAATCCATAAAGACCTGTAAATTCTTTTTTTTTTTCTTTGTCTTTTTTTGGTACCAGGGTTCGATCTCATGACCTCGCACTTCCCAGGCAGGCACTTGTGTCACTGAGCTACGCCAGTCCAAGAACTGTGATTTTATACCCATGATAAAAACTTCTTAAAAGGTAACCAAGATTGGTGAAAACTCAGAGAAATCAGAGCTTTAAGATGCTGGTGTGGGTGGGAATGGCACAATTGCTATAGAATACTGTAATTTAGTTCCTCAAAAAACCAACCAGAATTACCAGGAAATCCAGCCATGATATGTGTTTAATTTTTTCTGCAATTTTTGTGATGGAACATTCAATAAAAACAATAGAAACAACCCAGGATGAGACACTGAAGAACAACTACATTCAGAGTAAAAATGGAGGGTTAAAATTTAACAGTGCAAATGAGCAGAAAATTCAGCGATGTTGAAGAAAAAAACAGTTAATATATTGATGGCACAAAAGCTTTACTCTTGATGGTCAGAACTCTTGAAAGCAACCCAAACGTTCCTCAGTGGGTGAACAGATCGCAGGCAGTGCGTCCAGACAGTGCGGTATTGTCCAGAGTCAATCATCAATGAACTGCTGTTAGGTTATGAAAAGCCATGGAGGAAGCAAATGCATATCCCTGAGAGAAAGAATGCGGTGTGAAATCGGGCCACTGCTGTTTGATTCCAGCTGTACCTCAGTTGTTACCAGGGGGTCAAGGAAAGGGAGCAATGAGCAGGAAAAATGCTCAGGGCTTTTAGAGCGCTGAATGGTACCTGACTATGTGGTGAATGTGTAATTTAAAAACAAATATTTACAGTAAAAGACACACTGCTATTGATCCTCTTCCAAATTCTTCCCCTAGTTTTGAGCCCATTATTCTCACCACTTTCTGAATCGGTTTAGAGCACCCTAATACCCCAAGTATGTTTTGTGTGGCTGCCGTGATGCTGAGTCAAACCAAAGTGTTTAAGTTTTTATAGAAACCTCTGCCCAATAGAAACGAGCTTCACTTCATTCTGTAGAGCACCCTGCAGCCTTTGGCTCCGCCCCCACAGTCGAAATGACCGCCAAGGAACGCGTGCTGAGTGCATTCAGGACACTGAGGCAGCCACAGCCGCACATAACGGATGCTCAGGAAAGAACATAGAAGGACCTGCTGCAGGAGGCAGCGAGAAGGCCAGGTCAGCACGTCTGAAGCGAGGGCTGTCCTGAGCGGGGTTCATGGCTGTGTGTCTTCTACTTTAATAAAAATTTTTAACATCCACCATATTTTATCATACCTGTACACTTGTCTAAACTGATAACATACACACCACCAAGAGTATAGATGAAAGTCTTGGGGAGATGTACCTCAGTGTATCTCTGTGTAAGCAGGAACATTGCTAATGGGGGAGCCCACGAGTATGCGAAGGCAGAGGGCATGTCAAAATATCTGTACATCCATTTCAACTTCTCTGTGAGCCTAAAACTAATGTTGATTTTTAGAAAATAAATCTAGGTATCAATCAATTTGTCAGGTTTTTTTATTAAAAACTATTCACAATGCTGACCAATATCTCACTGCAATGTGTGTGTGCCCACAAAGGGCACACACATTTTTATTCCTTGTTTACCACATATTTGTTTTGAAATGAAAAAGAGAAAATATAAATGGAGCAAAGAAATAACACAAATTTCATTTTGAAGATTTGACAAGCAAATTCCAAAACTTCTAACAATTTATTTCAGCCTTCCTCACATAGATAACACATTTCTGAAACATTTCCTTTTTATTAGATAACAGATTTCCAAAGCTGTAAATACATTAATTTACAATTTTTTCTGCATTGTGAAGCCTAAATATAACTCACTAGGTGAGGGTCTGAGAGCAATAAACTAAAATTACAATGCACAATATAAAGCTGAAATGCAAGCCTTATGTAGTAACTTTTGCTTTCTCCATCACCTTCTTGAAAGCATTTTTGACCTCCTTGTTCCTCAGGCTGTAGACCATGGGGTTCAGCATGGGGATGACCATGGTGTAGAACACAGATGCGATTTTATCAGTGTCCATGGAATGACTGGAGCTGGGCTGCAGGTACACGAAAATGGCAGTGCCATAGAAGATGGAGACTGTGGTGAGGTGGGAGGCACAGGTGGACAGAACCTTCTGGTGTCCCTGAGCTGAGTGCATCTTCAAAATGGTGATAAATATGAGTAGATAGGAAGTCAAGATAATTAGCAGAGCAAAACTCACATTAAAGCTTGACATAAAAACCAGAATCCCTTCACTAAGGTGTGTGTCAGAGCAAGACAGAGCCATGATTGCCAGAACATCACAGAAAAAGTGATGGACCACATTGGATTTACCAAACGAAAGGCTGAATATATCTCCAGTGTGAAAAACAGAATTCACGAAACCACAGATGTAGGAGCCTGTGGCCAGACAAGTACATACACTTGGGGTCATCATGCTGGAGTAATGCAGGGGCTTGCACACTGCAGCGTAGCGGTCATAGGCCATTGAAGCCAGGAGGTAATTTTCTACAGTGACAAAGAATACAAAGAAGAACATCTGAGCGGCACAAGCATTGTAGGACACGACCTTGTACCCTGTGAGAAACTCAGCCATGACTGTGGAGGTGACAGCCGAGGAGTATCCAATGTCCACCAGAGACAGGTTACTAAGGAAGAAGTACATGGGAATGTGCAGATGAGTGTCCATCAGAATCAACATGACCATCCCAAGGTTTCCAATCACATCACAGAGGTAAATGAGAGTAAACAGGGTAAAGAGAGGGGCCTGCAGTTCTGGGACATCAGTTAGTCCCAGGAGAACGAATTGTGTCACTTCTGTACAGTTCCTCATCTATTAGTTGGAAATCATGGGATGTCCTATAGCAACAAGAAATAAATGGAGTAAGACACAATAAAGGTACTTAGTTAAATCTAAATCACAGTGAGATTTCATATGACTCAAGTTATACTGGCATTATTAAAAAACTAACAAACGCTGGTAATGATGCTAAGAAGAAGGAACTCATGTATTTTGGTTGAGAGTAAGTTAATGTGTCCATTATGAAAAGCAGTATGAAAGGCTCAGGAAGTTAAAACTGAATATTTCCTGTGATTCAACATCACCATTTATGAGATGTACCAAAGAAAACAGACAGAATTGAAAACATTACACGGAGTGAAGTAAATCAGACACAAAAACATAAATACTCCATGATCCTACTCTTATATGGAAGCTAAAAAATTTGATCTTAATGTACATTTGCAATTTCTTGAGATCAAGAGAGTATAGAAGGAGGGCATAACAATTGGATAAAGAGAACCCAGAGCACAGTCAAAGGGGTAATTTGTGAACTCCTGCAGCACAGTAGGGGGACTACAGTTCACTGTCATCTGCTGGGTGCTTTGGGAATAACTGGATCTTGGAGGCAGCAGAAAGGAAGCAGCACTTACAGAGACTCCAAGGCCTGCCTAAGTTCACTCAGGTGTGACTGTCAGGAGGTGCACACAAGGACACTGGCACAGGCTCAGACAGGAGAGCACACAGGTGAAATACAGAAGGGCGAGCTCCATTAAGAAGTGGAACCACCCACCTGGCCAGGCTCTGCTCCAGGCACAGGTTTGGAGACGGAGCAATTCATGAAATGCACAGAACCTTGCACGGAAGAAGCCGGGGCAGGGGCAGCAGCTTGGCTCTCACCCCAGATGTTGTTTACTCCAAGCCTCATTCACTCCGTCTGCAGAATGAAAACACAAGACCTCACCCGCAAGGTATTATTTTGAGAATTAATAAACCAATCCTCAGTGCTTTCTGAGTCATGAGGTTCTCCCCCTAGGGCATTACCCAAAGCCTGTTATCCTAACAGGGAAGGAGTTCCTCATTCACTGCACCTGCTCCAGCCAATCTGGAGATCAAGCTATTCTGTGAAACATGCAAGATCCTCTAGAGAAGAAGCCAGGAATGTGGATGTCACATGGTACTTACCTCGGTCCACTGATCCTCAGGGCCAGCACAAATCAGGTCAGAGCTGGAGAAAAGAACAGGAGACAGCTCCCCATTCACGCAGATCCAGGAGCCATAGAAAAGAGGCCTCCAAAAGCACATAAACTCTCCAAAAGCTGAACACACAGATGCAGAAATAGATGAAACTCCACATGAAGAAGTTAAAAAAACTGATAGATACAAGGATTAGTAACATCAGAGAAGAACCATATAAGCAGTTGACCTAGAAAAGAACAGTCAGAGCAAAGAACTGAAGATGAGATGGAAGTGCTAGAACATGCAGAGAGGATCAAGGAAAGAGAGAGAACAAGAACTACTGAACAAAAGTTCTTGGAAAAATCTAAAACAACTTGAGGTTCATTGGTCAAAAGAAAGCATTGAAACATAGGTCAATGGCTTAAAAATACAGACATTGATGTTATGATAGAAAATTTCACAAAACTGAAGAATGAGATGGATTCCCAGATAAGGCCGGCAACCAGAACTCAAACACGTACGACCAGAGTAGATCTTTGCAGAACACATCATGCTTGAAATGCCAGAAATTCAGGTCAAATAATCAATATTAGAAGCCATTAGAGGAAGCACCATCTCATGGGAGTGTGCCCAGAATAATAATTACAGATTTCCCAACAGAAACATTAGAGGCCAGGAGGGCTTGAAACAAAACTTTTCAACCCCAGAAAGAAAATACTTGTCTACATCTAAGTCTTCAATATTTATACCTGCTTTCTCTCCCAGTAGACTTAATACTTCTGTTCTAGTATTTAGATCTTTGATCCATTCTGACTGTAGTTTAGCGCATGGTGATAGAAGTGGGTCTAATTTTAGTCTTTGTAGACAGCCAGTTTTTCCAGCGTCATTTATTAAAAGGGCTATCTTTTTCTAGTGAATGTATTTGGCCCCTGGCACAGAGCTCATGAACCAACCCAAACTGCACGGGAAATAGTCCAAAGAATGATCAGTTTGGGTCTATCTAATTAAAATGCTTTTGTGCATCAAAAAGAAATCACCAACACTGAAAATACAACCCACAGAGTCAGAAAAAATTTTAGCGAATTGTCCCTCAAAGGATTTATATCTAAAACACATAAAAAATTTAAAAATTGAACCCCCAAATTCAAAAACCCAATTGAAAAATGGCCATCTGATATCAATACACACTTCTCAGATAAAGGAATACAGATTGAAGATTAATATAAAAAACATTCAACATGATTGCTAATTCAAGAAATGCAAGTTAAAACATCACTGCAATTACCTTTTACCGCGGAAAAAGTGGCTGCCATCAAGAAATCAACCAATAACAAATGCTGGAGAGACTGACAGGGGCTTCTCCACTGTTGGTGGGAGTGTAGACTCACGAAACCACTGTAAAAATCAGTCTGTAGATTCCTCAAAAAACTAGAATTAGAGGTACCAATTGACGAAGCTATTCCCCTTCTCGTTATCTTGCCAGAAAAGTTTAAAACATCATACCACGGCAATATATAAGCACCTATATTTATAGCAGCACAATTTGTAATAGCTAAATCTTGGAAACAACCCAAATATCTATCAACAAAAGAATAGATTAAAGTTTTACAATGGAGCACTACTCACCCATAAAGAAGGATAAACTTGAGGCTTTTATATGTAAAGGGAAGCATACTTGAGACCAAAATCACAAGTGCAATAAATGAGGCTCATATGTGTAAACATCGTATTATCTCCCTGATGTGAGAAACTGTAAGAGTAAATGTGATTTAAAATATACAACAGGTACTGTGAAATAGAAAGAAATTGTTCAAAAGGAAAAAAGAACTAGAATGAGGGAAAGTAAGGAAAGAAAAATGCAAGTTAGCTGTACTATTAGTGTCTCTGAAAAGGAAGGTTTGTGCTAATATCGACTGGAGAATTCTTTATGCCCATATTTTTATGAATTTCATATATATATTTCATATATATACTCATATATATATAGCCATATACATATATATGGATAAAATCATAAAAAAGAAATTATTAGTCAATTATTACCACATCCTACAAGACCTTCTCTTCAAGGTTAACGAAGAGAAGCAGCCCTTCTGGGTTAGGATAATGGTGGCCCTGAGGTGAGCTCAGCCCTCAGAGACAGTTCTGAGAGAAAGACGCAGAATCTGCTACAGAGTCTGCGCACTGGGAGGAGAGGCACAGAGCCCCACCGTTACTACCTGGGCACCACTGGTCCCACCCCACTTCTCTGAGCTCATTTATTCTATCTGCAAAATGAAACTGCTGATGAGACCTACCCTCAAGGTATTACTTTGAGAACTAATGAAAAAATAAATTTTAAGAGCAAGGAATAAAGGACTGGATATTTAGCACAGTCTGATGAGTGTGGGCTGTGGTCATCCTATGGGATGGACTAGTGGCCTCTGTGCTTGCTTGGTAAATGTGGATAGTTTCATACGTGGGTAAACCTGGAAGCATCATCTGCAGCTTGCTTTTTTCTTCACAGGAGCACCTCTGAGACGATAAATTACTATTCTTGTTCTGTCCTTTTTCTACTCAGATGATCGGCTGCTCTGGGAGCCCATGTGTTAATTACTTTCAGGAAATCCACTTTTCAGCCCTCCCTGAGAGAGCCTTCTTTTCTTAAACTCATCCATCCACTTGTAATTTTCAATATTGGGCTGAATATAGTTGCTTTGGATTTAAAGTGCCTTGTTCCTGGGTTACCTTCTGCCTGAAGCTCTGTGTTTGTAGAAAGCGCCACTTGAAAAATTATGATTTGAATTAGTTCTTGTGTAGGAATAATATTTTAAATCTGAAAAGTTGTCCACTCTCTGCTAACCACCCTACCATCCTCCATCATCTCTCCAAGCTGCAGTTGGTCAGCATAACCCTTAAAACTTTGCATTTGCCAGCCTGAATACACACAATCACTTCTAGAAAATCTTGTTCTACAATTAAAATGTAAAGAGCTTTAGATATAAATGTGCAAATTTCTGTGGTGGGTATTATTATTTAATTATGTTAATTAAAGGGTTGAAAAGCCAGGTGATATTTTACAACTTTGCAACTCATAAGAAACATCCAGAATTCAAGGTTGAAAACCAGCTTTAATCTAATCAAAGTTTGCACCATTCACCACTTATGGCACTGTCAGTGTGGTTAGACGTTTTAGTGATCGTGGGCATGAGTGATGGACAAAAGATTAAAATGCAGTTCAGATCTTGTTAATTCATTTAGTTACCTTTGAAGGTTAAACAGCTATCAATTCACACGACTGGTACTATGTCTGTTTTACCTCTAGTAGGAGAATAACAGTAAACAAAGCTGAAATTAAAATTTAGAGCCAGATGTAGTGTGTGTGCCTGTAATCCCAGCATTTAGGAGGCTGATGCAAGAGGATTTCCATGAGTTTGAGACCAGCCTGGAGTATATAATAAGGTCAAGGACTACACAAGAGACCCTATATCAAAAATAAATAAATAAATGCATGTATACATATACATACCAAAAAACTCAAAGCCTCAACTTGTTTCTGTTCATCTTCTCTAGGAAAGCAGTATAATGTTTCCTAAGTCTCACCACACTCCCTGCTACTGCAAGTTTTGACATTCATATCCCCAGACTCAACTTATAGCTATACAACAACAACATCAACAAAATATTTACAACATCTATTTCTGTGTTTACATAACAAGGGGCCGTGTAGCTGTCACTCTGCTTTTGCATGAATTATGCTTTTCAGTAAACATGGAAGCCCAGTGATTTATATGCTAATCATACCGTGATCAAGTGGCTTTGAAAACGTAGCTGGATGTGTGGATGGAAGCAAAGAAGGTCCCCTTGCTGCTGGAGAAGAAGCAATGATCAATCCGAGGTAGAGAGTCTAAAAACAGAAACGCAACCATGGAACAACACCAAGTCCTGGTGGAGAAGCTTCTCACATGCACTTGGGTTAAAAGGTTTCGTGTTTTCCAAAGGAATCACAGAGGAAACTCTACTTGGGGCCCAGAGCCGGACTCGAGTCCCAAATCAATCGCCTGTTCTCAGAACTGCAGGGCATATGCTGGTCCCTTAAAATACAGCACACAGGTGCTGTTGGGATTTGAGGGCCCAGTGCACGGGAACTTAGGGGAACCGTAGGGGACAGAGCTCTCCAGAGGCCCCTCATGTGAGAGCATCTCCAGCTCCTCACCCTGCCCCTAGAGACACAGGGCAAGGGCCCCAGGGACCTCGCAAATAGGTTCCCTAATGCACAGGGGTCTTCCAGTTGCTTGTTTTTCACTTGTCACCTAATTCATGCATAACTGACAAACAGGAAGATCCACGCTTTCCGGCACACATTTGTACGAATCTGCTCAAATGTGCATAGTGATGTCACTACTACTACAAGCGAGAGGCGGTCCATTCCCCCATCCCTATGAACACCCGAGACTGTGGTTAACCCTCTGCCACCACGTCCCTGGAAACCCCTGACAGCCTCTGTCCGGTCTGTTTGGCCTCTGAAAGAAACTCGGCTCCTGCAGCCCTTGAGTCTGGCTTCTCTTCCTTAGGGGATGGATTTGGGCTCCATCACTGTGACTGTCCTTATCAGTAGAGGAACCTTTGTATTGTGGTGTGGTATCTCCTCAGAATGAATGAAGATCCAGAAGATGAGAAAACTTTATGTGCAAATTCGGAGCATTAACAACTTCAAAGCATCTGAAGGCAGAAACATGTTGTGGGCATTTGCTGTATATTTTTATTGCATATAGTTTAAAATGGGCAGTAAGCCGGTTTGACATAGATTTCCTTAGTGAAATATTTACTAAAATCAAAGAAACCAACATATCTGTCATCTCATATAACTACTCTCCTTTATTTTCCAAGAGCACCTAAGGTTCATTCTGTTTGCAAAAATCCCTACAATAAAATATTGCCAGCGTATTCTTCAGCCATGTGTGACTTAACTGTCATAGTGAGCACAATGGAAATGCTTTTATTTGTTTCTCCAGCATTCTTCTTAAATTTTGAAATGAAAAAAAGAATAATGATGATGATACATAATTTCAAAACAAAGAAAAAGCAAATTAACAATGGTTTACATATTTCATATTGTTATATTCAAAGTAGCTGCTAGAGTATAAGACATATGTATGAAAAAATGATCAAATGATGAAAGCACAAACTATTCTTTTAGATAAACTAAGAGATCAGAAGTATGATTGTCTAGCATTACACATACAGAGAGGGGTGAAGGGGAGGATTGTTTCCCTTCTTTCTTCCTTTATCCCCATCTCAGTTGTTACTTCCTTTTGAGCAGTTTCCTCCCCTTTCTCTTCTATAATATCTATTGTACATTTTGGTTCTTATTCACTCATTCAGCATTTTATACTAGGGAGACAATATGATGTTTACACATGCAAGTCTAATTTACTTCAGTTATGATGATGGTCTCATGTTGCATTCACTTATCTGTAAAAGCCCCAGCGTGTCCTTCTTTATAACTGAATAATACTCCATTTCATAAAAATACCACATCTTTATTAACCATTCCATGATTGAAGGGCATTTGGGCTTTTTCTAAGATTTAGCTATCACAAATTGTGCTGCTATATTCCATTGGTTTTAACATGTTGTATCTTATTATATTTTAATATATGTGATAGTGCAAACAAAATTTTTTATAGGCAAAGAGATATAGAAATCATTGTTCGTTTTCTGTTAGCTGGTTCTAAATATCCTGTAATACTTTCATTCTCTTGAATGGCTTCACACTGTCTCGACTGTCTCAATATGTTTAATGCTATAGTATATGAAGTTATACTCAAATATTTCAAGGAAAGAGACACTATGGTAACTACTATTATGTCAGGTTATCTGGTGGTGAAACACAGTGATGCTTAAATTGTTCGGTTCTGACCTGTGTTGTTCTGTTGCTATGTCCTCTTTTATCTCAATTTCCCTTTTTTTCTTTTTTAAAAATTATTTTATTTATTCTTATTTTTTTTAATTAAGGGAAAACTAACTTAAAAAATAGCGGGATATATTATAGTGACTTTTTTGTTTTTCTATTAACATGATTTGAACCCCTGTATTGCTCTCCCCATCCTGTTCTGACTGATTTTACTGTATTCTGTTTTGTTTGATAGTATCAAGTTTGAGGGTATAGCCAACCACTTTGAAGGCAATAAGATTTACTATGATGCCCATTATAGTTTGAGTATTATCTTCTTTTGAAGTCCCATAAGCTCTCCAATTTAGGTTTTATTGGTCTTGCTCTGTACCGTTTTGTTCAATTCTATTATACCTGATGATATAGGCAACTCTTTTTAAGATAGTAAGAGGCATAATGGTACCCATTGTTGATCACCTGGTATTCTGTTTTTGCATCATGTACTATGTCCATCCTTCTGTTCTAACTGACTCTGTTTTGCTTTGTCACATTTGGGGTTTTTTTTTTCTCTCTTCAAAATAAGTAATAAGAACTGTGGGAGTAATAAAACCCAAAATGTGTAATTGTTAATGAAAAAAAGAGAGGAAAAGAAAATGATCTAAAGGATATAACTGCATGTATATTTAAGTGTGTAGGACAGGAAATCATAGTACTGAGTTTTCGTTGGATCACTGAACAGAACTGTCTGCAATCTCACTGTATGAATGCCCATTTTGTATGCTTTAATTTTGTAATTTGGACAACTGTTTCTAAGATGACTATACAGTGAGACTGTATCTCAAAACAAAACTAAACAACCTGTTAGATGTGTTTTGTTTACTTTTCTCTCCTGGCTTGGACAAAATACCTGACACCCAAAGTGAAGGAAGGAAAGGCTTATTTACTTCACTGTTTGTGGAGGTTTCAGTCCATAATCAGTTAGCTCCAAGGCAGGGTGCCATGGCACAGAGGCCACACTTCAAGGCAGCAGCCAGCAAAAACAGCCAGAGCAAAAAAGGGGAAGAGAAATTCTCTTTTCTTCTCTTATATGGTACACCAGCATCTGCCTGCAGGGCCAGTGTAGCACTCACAAAATCTCCTTGTCCTCCTTTGCACAGGATGAGGATATTTATAAAGAATCCTGACTTCCTGCTGAGTCTCTTAGTTAAATTTCTAAATTGTTCAAGTTGACACAGTGTATCAACCATAACAACAGTTACCCAACTAAAGAAATAAGGGCAGATGTTAGTCACGATCTAATGTAATGTGCATGCATCCTCATGGATCATACATATATACTTGGACTTCTATTCGTGGAATTGTTTGTATTGCTATTTTAAACATATGTTTGTAATGCCATGTGATAGAGAAAATATGTGTAGAACAATTAACAACAATAAGAGAGGAATGCAACTTTTCAATGGTAAATAATCCAACTAGGACTAGATCATCTTTAAAAAAAAGTACAAATGGAAAGAAATACATTTTTAAAAATGATCAGTATCATTAGCTATCAGGAAAAGGCAAATTACTTCAATGAAATATGATCTCATCCCAATGACCATAGCTTACTATTTAAAAACCACAAATAAAAATGAAAAAGAGAAAGGACCTGGTATATATTATTGATAGAAATGTAAATTAGTACAATGGTTTTACACAAGAGTGGAAAGCTACCACGATAAAACTAAACTTTTCTTTTGATTTTGTATTATAGGGATTCAGGGTGAATCAAGCACTTACCACTGAACTACATTCATCAAAGTAGGTCTTCTATGTGATTCAGCAATCCATCTTTTGTTTATAGAGACAAAAGGGAAGGAAATCACTGGGCCAACAAAACACCTGCACTCCCCTGTTTATGATTGCACCATCCACAATGATAAGACACGAAGTCAATGTGGGTGCCCATCAACAGATGAAGGGGTGAAAAAGTGCACATATATGTAATGGAATACACAAATCCACAAAAAGTAATTACGCAGTGTCATTTGCAGCAAAATGGATGAAACTGGAAAGTGTTTTGTTAAAAGAAATATAAGCTTTAAAAGAAGCTTTAAAATACAGAATACTACACACAGAATAGCGATTGCTAAAGCGTGAGAATGGGTCGGGAGAGAGTAGGGAAAGGAAAGCTGGATTTGATCAGTGAATCCTGTATGTTTGTGTTGAAAATTCACACTGAATCCAATTCATATGTGAAATTCATGCATGTAAATCAAAATTTTTAAACGAACTTAGTAAGGTTTTTGACAAGCAAAACCTAAAGCATCTTATGGTGTCACTGAACCATCATCATTCTGATATTAGTTTTTTACTAGACAATAGAATGAAGCAATAAGAATATGACCAAGGAAATAAACATAATTTGAAGATTAAAATTTGAATGAAAATGAACCCAAGGCACCCCAAACTAGTTTACTGTGCATCACACATCATTAAAATCTCAATACTAGAGATGATTTAGCCTTCTCAAAAATCTTTTTGAGTGCACTCTTCACCTCTTTGTTCCTCAGGCTGTAGACCAGGGGGTTCAGCATGGGGATGACCATGGTGTAGAACACAGATGCCATCTTGTCTGTATCCATGGAGTGACTGGAGCTGGGCTGTATGTACATGAAGATGATCGTTCCATAGAAGATGGAGACAGCAGTGAAGTGGGAGGCACAGGTAGACAGAGCCTTCTGATATCCCTTAGCAGAGCGCATCTTCAAGATGGTGATAAATATGAACATGTAGGAAATGAGCACAACTAGAAGAGCACCAAAGACATTGAAACTTGTAAGGAAGATAAGAACCATCTCAATAACGTGTTTGTCTGAACAAGAGAGAACCCTGACTGCTGGAACATCACAGAAAAAGTGGTGGACCACATTGGCCTTACAGAAGGAGAGACTGAATGTGCCCCCAGTATGGAAGGAGGCATCCAGGAAACCACAGAAGTAGGAGCCTAGGACCAGACACACACACACACTCTTCGACATGATCGTGGGGTAATGCAAGGGTTTGCACACTGCTGCACAGCGATCATAAGCCATTAATGCCAACGTGGCATTTTCCACAGAAACAAAGACCACAAAGAAAAACATCTGAGCAGCACATGCAGTGTAAGAGATGACCTTGTCTTTCATAAGGAGCCCAGCCATCGCTGTGGGAGAGACAGCTGAAGAGTATCCAAAATCTGCCAAAGAAAGATTACCGAGGAAAAAATACATGGGCGTATGGAGGCAGGAGTCCAGGACGATCAGGAAGGCCATCCCCAGGTTCCCCAAAACACTGATGAGGTAGATGAGGGTGAACAAGGTGAAGAGGGGAATGTGTAGCTCTGTAGAGCTGGTCAGACCATCCAGGATGAAATATTTCACCTCAGTATTATTAGCCATGGGAAATTCAAGTTTTCTACAGTAATGGGGGAAAAAAAAACAATGGTTGGTAAGAGACTGCACTGAAATATAAAATTTTTTTTATCATCTTCTTCGTCATTCACAGTCCTCTAAGGCAAAAATCTGAACAGAAAAATATCCAAGAAATAAATGATCTGTTAATTATACTGTTGAAGCTAAAGGGTCCTCATCAATGGCACAGCCTAAATGGCACCAGTTAAACAAACAAAATGAGGTTAGAAAGATGGAATATTTGTCTGAGGTTATGTGTTTGCAATAAATTCATCTCCTGAATCAGATTACCTGAGTCTATTAGAAGTTTCCATCTATCTCATGCTTATTACAAATATACACTTATGTTTAATATGTGAATAGCTTAAGCTTCTCAACAAGACTATGAGAGGTTAAATATTTTGTGTGGTTTACATTTGAGTATACACTGCTGAAGGCAAGACTGTTGACTCATACAGGCTGATGCATACACTCTTAGAAGATGTTTAAGCTGCTTTAAATTGGATCAGTTAATATTTACTCACTGCATGCACTGGCCCAAGCTCTGTGCTTGGAGAATGCAGCAATGCAACAGAGATGCTAGTAAAGCAAAGGAAGTATGGTGAACGTATCTCTAAAGATTTGCACACCAAGCAAAGAGATTCTGAAAATATTTGTGCTGGAGTTGAGGGACTGGAAAGTGTACACCGAGTGTTTAAGTAATTACCTTAACTTTTACTACCTGGAAAGCGTGAGCCCTACGTCAACTTCCTTGTGCCTGACTTTCTCTATTATTAAAATGAAGATGATAATGAGATCTCTCAAAAGGGGATATTATAAGAGCTAAAATAACATGGATTTTAAAAAGACCACACAACGTAGGTGTTCAGCACACTCTGATGAGTGTATTCCACAGAAGGGTTGGGGGGATGGTGATCTCCATCGTAGCACTGGAAGCTGAGTATTATCACAGCACCTCGGCACCCACTTCAGCTGGAAGTCTGGTAGGCTTTCTTTTGATTTTATTCTCCCTGCTTGCTAGGGGTACTCAAGGACTTCTCTGCCTTCCAGTGAGGCACTGGCCACCTGTGTGAGAATCTAAGTCAGCGATAGCAAAACTTTTAGAGACTGAGTGAGCTCAAACTGCAGCCCAAAACCCATTTATGTTCACAAATTTCTAATGTACAAGATAATAATAGCATATACTGTGTTCTATGAACATGAATAAAAGAATTATAGATTTAAATAAGTATTTTTCACTTACTTTTCACAACATAAATTTTCAGTTTCATATGAAGCAGAGTCAGAATTTCTGTGCAGATCCAATTGATCTTACAAGGGGTTTTGCAAACAACTGGTCTGTCTACTTTTCTGAATATAATAAGGATGTAATCATGAAGTAAAGGATATTGAGAAAGAATATGACTGCAAAGAAATTCATGAGGACCCTTCTGGAGTCTAAAGAACTGTGGCTCCAACAATTTTCATTAGTTTCTCTCATAATTACAAAGAGAGATAGTGCAAAAGATGAAAGACCCCCCAGCCGATAAGAGTTTCATCTGTCTGATGATCTTTTCCATCTTGTCTGGGAACACAGCCCAGTAATACACATGATCCCTGAACTTCCCACTGAAGGAAGTATTTTGCCATTAAGAATTTCATGTTTCAAAAGCTGCTCTCAGAATTTTTTGCTGAGCTCATACAATCCCTAATACCAATTTCTCGATTGCTTTACATGTATTACAATTCTCACTAAAAAAAAGTTGGGGATGTAAAAGCTTACCTTATTCAGAAACATAAAGCTTCCTCAGGAAACAAGGAGCAAACCCTCTTCACAAAGCTGTTTTTTTAGGAACCAGGCAAAAAGTGTTCCTCTACTTGCTACTTACCTTATTAGAATCTCAGTTGTTTTAAATTGTAAAATAAATATAATGTCATGAACAGGCCTGTATATCTCAAAGGAATGTGTCTGTGAATAGTAAATATAAGAACCTCTACAATGAAGTTGAGGAAAGAGTTATAATGTTAACCACATTCAACATAGTTTTTATGATCGGGTGTTTTTCTTGTTAGTGGGCACAGCCCCACAAAAAACCCTGATCGGGGAAGACTGTTCTGTGTTCTAAAATTCCTGCCTCTGCACACAGCCTGGTCCTGCTAAAGTGATCCCAAAGAACCAGGCAGGGATTTTAGTGTCAGGGACGGTACCAGGAGGGTGTTTCAGAGACGTGAAGATCACAGGGGAATAGGTCCTCTGTGCAAGCCATCCCAGGGTCTTGTTCCACTAACTTAATGAATAAATGATTAAGATACCTGTGGGACCTACCTGAATTAGTATCTGCTTTGTTTTCGTTTGATTTTTGGTTCTTTGCTTTCTTGGTTGATAATGTGTATACTGTAAAAGTCACACATTTATAGTACAGATCTGAGCCTGCACAAATGTGTATAATAGTGTAAGCACTGCCACATGCCGAACAAAGAACAAACCTGTCCGGCCAAACACTTCATATACTTATTTGTAATCAAACCACTTTGCCACAGTGAGCTCCTAAAGTCTACGATTTTATTGATTTTATTGATGATCATATCATCAATATTTCATTTAATGAAATCGTAAAATGCAACCTCAAGTCTGCTTTCTTTCACCTTCCTGAAGGCATACATGGGGTTTTCCACTTACGCCTTCTCAGTGGGTTGCTTCTTGATGTTCTGGTTCTCGCTATTCCTGAACTAACGTTCATTACCTGGTCCATCCAGAATGTTTGCTGCTAATCTTTAGTAATTGCAATTAAATTTATTTTGAATATTCACACATAGTTCTCTATAGGATAGGCTTGTATTTGAATGAGTACATTAAATTGAAATTGTGGGCTGACACAGTACAGTCACGTTTAACATGATAGAACCTTTCCAATATTTTTTTCTCATTAAACTTTGTTTTAAAGGGTCTCAAAACTCTGTGACAGATATTTGGTCAAGTTGTTTCCATTAAAAAGTGTTGATTTTAAAAACTAATAACTTAAAAACTACCACACACACACACACACACACGCACACACACACACACACACACACACACACACACACACACACACGGTCCACAAAGCATTTTCCTTTCCCTCTGAAGGTTTTATGATACATTTTTCTCATTAACCTGTCTTTCACTATGAAACTTAAATGGCCAATTGGGAGAAACATTTCTGAGACCAGTCTTCTAACACTGATTAAGGCTGGGGTGGCAGGAGTTAGGGGTAATCTTCATTGCACCTTCTGAGCTTTCTGGGCAGACTTGGTGACCTCGCCAGTTCCAGCAACCTCCTTGTGCTTTGATGACACCAGAGCAACTGTCTATCTCATATTAAAAACAGCGAAACAACCCAGAGGTGGGTGGTCAGAGAAGCACTCAATATACATGGGCTTTCCTGGAACCATTTCTACAATGGCAGCATCACCAAATTTCAAAAATCTAGGCCCGTCTGCCAGCTTCTTACCATATCAGTGATCAGTCTGTTCCTTTAGCTCAGCAAACTTGCAGGCAATGTGAGCTGTGTGACAGTGCAGTACAGAGGTCCAGCTGGTACTGACCTGGCCTGGACAGGATGGTTCAGCATAATCACCTGAGTGGTAAAACCAGCTGCTTCCACTGGTGGGTCATTTTTTCTGTCATCAGCAATACTGTCACTTCAAACATCTTGGACAAACACGTTCTTGCCTTTGAAGTCCACATTGTCCCCAGGACAAGCTGCATTCAAAGCTTCATGGTGCATTTCAGCAGACTTTCCTTCAGTTGGGTCACTGGCTGAAGAGAAGGTGACCAACCACCATGCCAGATCTGAGGAGACCATCTCCACTCGGCCCATAGAGACAGCACCAATGCCACCAATCCTAGAGATGTCCTGAAGGCTGCCACAAAGGCTTGTCAGCAGGGTGTGTGGAAGGAAGCAATCTGGAGCATCAAGCAGTGTGGATCCACTGGTGTTGCCTTCTGTACCAGTGACTTTCCATCCCTTGAATCCAGGCATTTTAGCACCTGGTTCCGGGATGTTGTCACCATTCTAACCAGAGACTGGCAGCAAAGCTACCATATCAGAGTTGTAGCCCATTTTCTCAATGTAGTTGCTGACTTCCTTAAATTTCCTTGTATCTTTTCTGTCTGAAGGGTGGCTCAGTGGAATCCATTTTGTCAACACCGATGGTTAGTTCTTTTACACCCAGCATGTAAGCCAGAAGGATGTGCTCATGGATCTGCCTGTTACTAGAGACACCAACTTCAAATTCACCAACACCAGCAGTGACAATGAGGACAGCACAGTCATTCTAAGATGTGCCTGTAATAATGTCTTTGATAAGGTCTCTGTGTCCAGGTACAGTCACATAATACTTGCTGGTCTTAAATTCCACAGGGAGACGTCAATGGTGATACCCCAACACCCAGGCATATTTGAAGGAACGCTTCCCCATCTCAGCAGCCTCCTTCTCAAATTTTTCATTGGGGGGCTGGGGATTTACCTCAGAGGCATAAGCGCCTGCCTTGCAAGCAGGCAGTCGTGAGTTCGATCCCTGGTACCGATAAAAAAATGAAAAAGACAAAAAAAATTTTCAATGGTTATTTTGTTGATGCCACCACATTTGTAAATCAGAGGGCCAGCAGTGTTGGACTTGCTGGAATCCACATGTGCAATGACAACAATATTAATGTGAGTCTTTTCTCTTCCATGTTGGCTTTGATTTAGTGGTGGTTTTCACTATACCTGCACTTTCACAGCAAACCCATCATGAAAACCTCCAAATACTACTTTTAAAAAAATATACCATCTTGCTTTCCACTGGTAGTGCGTGATAAATTCAGTCCCTTCATGTGGCTGCTGACCTTTATCTGGCTGAGAAAAGAAAATATGTTCTTAACAGAATTGTGACCCTGAAAGTCTTAAGGCTTTAAAGAATTTATGCTGCTTCGGGAATTTAGAGTTCACTGGCCCTAACAATTAATCTAGCAAAGACTAAGTCAC